CCAAGATCTCTTCACCAAGAGCTACAGCAGTGTTTGTTCTCTATTAGTCCTTTTCATGTATTTGTTCATGAAATGCCTACTTGGTAAAAAGGGGTCCTTAGACGTGCATAGTTTAACTCCTGTAAAACAAGATCTTCGTCAACAAGGTTAAAAACCCGACGCCGGTGTACCCCGGCGGCGGGACCGGAGCTGTTGAGTCTGATGAATGATGACCCTTTGTTGGGTATCTCATAAAGGCTGCCGTGCCGCCCCTTTTCATAAGAGCCGGCCGGCAAAAGTGAGGCGTGAATAGCATTAGTGCAAGTCATTGCACCCATAGCGGTGTGGCCAGGCCTGAAACGCCGCCTGCGAGGCCTCCACGCCAACTTTTAGACGGCGAAATGATTGAGGGTAGAAGAAACCTGCCCCGCCAATAGAGGAAGGGACGGGCAGGCGAGGAAGGAGGCGCATAACGATGGATGGATGGACGGACGAGATAAAAATGCCGGCGGCAGACGTCTGACAGAAGCCTCATATCCCCCGCGCAAGGCGGGAAGTGAAGGGGAACAGGTTTGCCTCCGAGGGGCTGAAAGCGCTCCGGACAAAAGGTGCCCCGGGGAAGAATGGGGGCGGTCAGGACTGGCACTGGGCTGGAGTTAGATCTCATTTCTCCAAGTGTCAGGGCACTATCTGTCTCCTCCTCTCTCCTCTCGCCCCAATTACCGCCACAATGAGCGAAACCCCCGACTTTCCTGAGGAGCCGCATACGCTCGTTGGACTTGTAAAGCCCGAGATGGAGTCGGACGATGAGTTTTTGACATCACTGGAAAGAAGCTGCTGTAGGCCGCCGCTCACATTCAGAAGCTCACATGCCGACCAGCCTGTCAACCCATTCACTCGTCCGCACGCCTTTATACAACACACATAAGGCTCACAAAGGTCACGGGGCATGCTGGAGCCTATCACAGCTGTCTTCGAACAGGAGGCAGAGGACACCCTGAACCGGTCACCAGCCAATCGTAGGGCACACAGAGACGAACAACCATCCACGCTCACACCCACACCTAGGGACAATTTGGAGTGTCAAAACAGCCTGCCAAGCATGTTTTTTGGAATGTGGGAGGAAACCGGAGTACCCGGAGAAAACCCGCGCAGGCCCAGTAGGAACATCCAAACTCCACACAGGGAGCTGATACTGTCATTTCATTTTATAAAATTACAATTACATTCGATATTATTATGTTTTTGTGTACAGTACTGTGCTATTTTTCATCCAGCAAGATGGTGTGCCTTAAGATGTTCATTCGTGATGTGCCTTAAGATGTTCATTCGTTCGATTGATTTTCCACTGAGGCCTGTTCCTAATCATTTGGTTCTTCAGCAACACGAGTGAGGCCAAATCTTGCCCGTTGTGTCGCCAAAAAAAAAAAAAAAATCACAACATGAGAGATTGCACCATGGCGCTCAACATTTGATCAAATGCGACAACGGCAACGTGGGCCGAATTATCTTCGTATTTGCTCCTATTCGAGTTTGTAGTTCAACACGTCCGCGAATGTCTTCATTCAATTAACAAACTGCAGGGGTGGCGGTGGTGGGGGTGGTTTGGAGTGACTTTCTGACATCGCTCAAAAAGCCACCCAAAATTAGAAACAGCTCTTGGTATGAAAAATTGCATTCCAAACAACTGCAAACTATCATCGTAAGCGTGTGGTTAAATGTAACGTTTTTGCTATATGATCTTTGGGAGAGCAAAATACCACCAAGTGCAACCACAACGATAACGATACAATAATTCCTCGTGATAACAACGTTCCTCTTCACGGCTTCACTGTTTTTGCGCATACTTAAAAAACTTTTCTTTTTTTTTTTTTTTTTACTGCTTGGCTAAGGAACGAACTGTCGACTCGTGTGAACAGGCTCCACACCTCATCGCTGTACAGCTTGCCAAATTTTCTCCGTGCCAAAACCCACCATGTTGACGAAACGTTCTGTGCAGTGTTTCTAAAAACCGTCAGTTGTTTGGAAGAAAGAAAACGTTTCGATTTATTTATTGACTTATTTTTGAAATGCTTGGGCCTGAAAAAAAAAAAGTTTAACCTTTTGTGCCATTCAATACAGTCTTAATAAAAAAAGACGCCTACTTCACAGATTTCACTTCTCACAGGCTCTTTTTGGACCATAACCCCTGCGATGAAAGAGGGATTACTGTCGTGTCACTCAAAAGTGTGCACATTATTGCTGTCTTTCTATCGCCTCTTGTTACGGCCAGGTGTACCTAATATTTTGGCCAGTGAATTCACAACATAGCTTTTATCATGGGAATAATCTCAATACACACGACCACCATAGTCCTACCGTTAAATATTGAATTCAAGATGATTTCTTCTTTTTTTTTTTTTTTTTACCCCAAACAGTTTTGAATGTTTTTAACAAAAAACGCATCCTTCGCCGAGTGCGCATGCGCACACACACACGCACACGCACACGCACACACACACACACACACACACAGAAAGGAGACAGAAAAGAAGATATTTTGTAAAGCCGCCACAAGTTCCCTGTCATGCCGCCTCCTGCGTGGATGAAGCCGCCTGCAGGCCCCTTTTGTCCCACGCCGACATGAATACAAAGTGGATAGAAGAGGGCAAAAGGGAAAATTGGCATTGTGGCAAGTCTGGAAATGGAAAGCGAGTGAAAGTTGTGAGTGCGTGTGCATGTGTGTGCGTGTGTGTGGCTTTTTTTTTTTTTTTTTTAAATTCTGAGACACATGTTTTTATTTTTATTTTATATTTGAAACGAACACAAAAAATAGTCATAAAATGACTTCATTTGTCATACAGGATATTTAAATGCAATACACGTAGTCCACTCTTTGTTTGTTTATTGAACATATAAAAAGGTAACAAGATGTTGTCATCGAAAGCGCAAAAAACATCAAAAAGCAGTATAAGAACTAAAAACCTCATCTCAACCAACCCTTCCCTTGTTTTTTTTTTTTTTTAATATTTTGGCTTATTTGATATGAATACAATAATAGATTAATCAGACAGTATAGCCCCCCCAAAAAATTTTCTCTTCACTTTATTTAATCATTTATTATTTGGATTATTAGTACAAAAACTACTATTAATTTTAATTGTGTACAAAATCTAAACGCTCAAGCCTGATTGCAGCTTTTTTACCCCCTTCCAGGGGCCTTTTCTCAAAACTAGGAGTATTTATTTGTCCAGGAAAGACACACTTCTCTCCTTTGTTCGATCGTTCAGTCACGTGGTGTGCATGTCTGTGTGTGTGTGTGTGTGTGTGTTTCTTTGTGTCTATGAGTATGAGAGAGAATGTGTGTGTGTGTGTGTGTGTGTGTGTGTGTGTGTGTGTGTGTGTGAGAGATTTACCTTAAATCGCAATCAGGTAAACATTCGTAATCCACTCAAACACTCTCACAGGCACACTTCCAGCATGATCTAATGGGATCATATACAAAAACTGGAATTTTGTATTTTTTTTTTTTAATTGCTGTGGTCTTGTGGTTTTAGTTGGCAGTGGTTTGCAACTACAGTACACTGTTACTAATATTTTTTTCCCCATCTCCTATTGCAGTGAAAGGTAACCAAAATGTCCTGAAAGAGCGCTCATACTATATGGTATGATGAAATTTTGTAAATTTGAAAATTCTTGACTTCTGGTTTGAATTTGAAGGTAGACTAGCATAACACTGTTTTTTTTTTTTTTAATTTTTATAAAGATCACAAAAAGAAAGGGTGACACTAACTAGACGAATGCTAAAGTAGAGCTTAATCTTGCGTCAACTTAAAAGTGTCCAATAGTGTCTGGTCTGCACTTTCAAAACAAACACCAGGCTAAATTTAGCATCCCATTCATCACGCTGTAGGGTTTAAAAAAAAGAAGGTGTGGGTGTAAAAGGGGGGTCAGGGAGCTTTAACTCTGTGACAAAGCCTCATTTGCAGGTCAATGCGATGGCACACTCGCCTCTCGTCTCCTTGCAGCTCGCCTTTGTTCCCGCTCGCCTGCGCCCATGCCAGATGGTCATGGAAAATGCTAATTCTCCCGGCCCGATTTGCCTCCTTTCTGCATTTAATTGCACACGGTCCCGCTAATTGTGTGCTGCTGTCGGGTGGAGGAGGATGTGATTTAAAGTTTTAAGTTTTTTGGGGGTGGGGGGGGGGCTCTAAAATGACTGTTGGATTTTTTTATTTTTTTAATTTTTGCAGCATGAATTGGATTCACTTTGGTTGCTGTTGAAAGGACTCGCAGGCCTTCCTCAAGAAGTGAATACAACCGTTTAATGATGCAGGCCTCAGCGTCCTGCTTGAACGGGGAGCAATTCGAGGGATTGCGTTGTCGATGCCTCCTTGCTCAATTAATTTTTTTTTTTCAAAATTATTATATTATTTATTTGCTGACAGCAAAACATGCACAATGCTTGATTGCCCATATCATGTGATATGGGTTCGTGGTTTTTATTCATATGTTTATTTATTTTCAAAATATTACAATTCATTGTGGACTTAGAGTGCGATATGTTCTGCGTGGGGCGTCACCATTCACTGTGTCTATGTAAAAAGTACTGTACATCTATTTGGGGGATATATTTAGAAATGTCTGGATGTATACGTTTTATACGGTAAATATAAAGAGTGTACACACCCCTGTTGAAATGCCATTTTGTATTTGTTAGAAAAAAGAGCAACATCATTCAGTACCCCGCCCCCCCCAAAAAAAAAAAAAAGATTCCACCGTTCATGTGACCTGTAATCCATCTTTTTTAAGGGGCGGATGAAAAATAAATGACATAAATAATGCGGTTGCACAAGTGTGCGCACCCTTTCATAACTGGCATGTGGTTGTATCCGGAATCCACCAATCACATTCAAGCTCATGTTGCACACGTCTGCAATCATTTCAAGTGCATCTGATTAACCCTGAATAAACGTCTGCTGTTCTAGTAGGCTTTTCTGACCTTTTTTTTTTTTTGTTTGTTTGTTTATTTTGCTTTCTAGCAGCGGTGATAACACTGACTGGTATTTGGAGCAGTTCACAATTCCCTCCACCTTGATGAAGGCCTCAGCTCCCGAAGAGGAAAACGAACCTCAGAGCATGATGCTGCCACCACCACGTGACACTGTAGGTATGCTGTTCTTTTGGCAATGAGCAGTGTTGTTTTTGCACCGACATACCTTTTGGCCAAAAAGTTCACAAAAAGCCCACTAGAACATCTGAACTTTAACATCTGACTTTTCATGTTTTCGTGCTCGTGATTCCCTTAAACGATCCCATTGCAGGAATGTCACGATGAGGTAACTCATCCCGCACAAATACGCCAACGCGAGACTTCTGCGTTGCGTTCAAAGGTCAAATGGGACACGGCGGGCGAGGGAGGGCCTCACGAGAGTGATCCCCACCCCTTCACCCCGCATCGGCAGCTGCTTGTGTTATTATATTCCATTGAAGGCTTGTTAGTGAGAACTGCCATCTTCTCCCTTTGTGGCCATCAAAGTGTCCCAAATTGAGTCATAACAGCCACTTCCTGCGCATAGCTCATATTAAGACGTATGAAAAATTGGACGGATGGACGGACGGACGGACAAACTGCATTTAGCAGGAGCGCTCGCATTGTATTTTATGTGGTTGCACAGCTGAAGAGAGGGAAAAACTGGAAGGTGACCCCCATTAACTCCGAGGGGGAGGTACCCGAGCCCCCGAATGTGTCCCGTCTCCATCACTTCATTAAAGTAACACATGAACAGCTGTTGTCTTTAACATGTAAACTATTGAGATTTTAAAAGTCCACTCAATGACCCCCGCGGCTTCCCGCGGGCATATGGGCGTTAATTAGCTGGATATAGCCATAGATTAATTATAATATTTTTTTTCGGCCATTGGTATCAATGGAGCAGCCAGACAAAGTGTCTTTTGTTCTCTGATGCGGGACATTCTGTGGCTGACTGAATGGGTCTTGGCTATGTCTACATGGATTTGCCATATGGCAACAAAAAGCAAAGAAAGGAGCGCGAGAGCGCTTTGTGTTGGAAATCAGAACAAGCCCCGGCGGCTTATGGCTGCATAGAGCCGACAAAGTCAGCCTTGCCATCAAAAGTCTCCATTTTTATCATGTCACACAGTCAAAGCCATTCGAGCAATCGCGCCGTGCTTTGGATAATTAGCATAATGCGGCCGGGCATGCGTGGACGGAAATATGTCAATAAACTCCACTTAAAAGAAGATGCCGTGTCAACCCTTAAGAGCCAGCGCAATCCTTTCTGACATGGGTCATGTTTAAAAAAACAACAAAAAAAAAAAACGTAATTGACTTTCAAGGTCACCGAGATGTTTATCTGAGTTTAGTAGAACAGCACGAAATAAAACGTCACTCTTCATTCTTTAAATGATTCATGAGACTTTTGGATTCATTAATTAGATGTCGTCCGATCCAACGTCTCGCAAGGTTTGCTTGACGTCTTTTGTGTGACGTCAATTCAGGAGCACTGACACATGCGGAGCGATGACATGCAAACAGTAGTCGCCATGAAAGACTCCATCTTCACATAAGAAAAGCCCGTTTTTAATACTACGCGGGGAATAATAACGCACTGCCACATGAATTCATCGAGAGGCTGTTCAAATGGGCTTGGAGGTTAATTTTAATCTGATTCTGCGAGAAACAGGGAGGCTGTTATTTTAAGTGGATGTTGGTGACTAATAGTGACTTATTTACTATTTGACATAATGCTCTGTTGGCTATATCCCGTTTCGACAGTATTATAGTTTAGATACAGAATTGACAAGTGGTTCCGTAAAAACAGTTCAGTGGAAGCTGCGACGCCACACTTGATGTTGACGGACGCATCATGCGCTCGCTGCGCATTTGGCTTCTTTCATTTTAGTGTAAACTTACAAGTATGACCCGCTGAATGCTACGTGTCAATAGAAGAGCCCAATTACAAAGACTGGAGGTTTTTCTTCTTTCCAGCTCTGGCAGGTGGTCTCCACGCCCGGTGTATCCACAGTGGAGTAAACAGAGTGTATATGTGTGTGTGTGTGTGTAAGTGGGTCTTTTAGGGGGCTCGTTGAGTGCGGCTGCATGTGGGGGAGTCTCTCGATTTGCGGACAATGCGGGGATCCAAAGGCAGCTGCTGCTTCTATAGAGGGCCAAAGGGCCTTTAAATCCCAGCCTATATCCCACAGCTGCCATGCTGCTCAAGTCTCAATACAGGCCCCTTTAAAAAAAAAAAAAATGCACCCACCCCCACTTGCACAAGGTATATTATCAAGGCTGCACCTGAGTCCCTCTGTGGATGGAGTGTAATCCAGTCACTCAATAGGAAAGAACAGTGACAAAGAAATGCAAAAGTTGACTTAATAAAAAAACATTTTATTCTTACTTTTTTTTTTTTTGCTCATGATAGCATTTGCATGGAGAACAAACATTTTTAACCGAGAAAAAAAATGGCTCAGAGACACAAAGACAACTAGTGTACGCTACAAGCTACATGATTGCAAATGCACCACCAATAGAAAAATAATAAAATAAACATACGCCATAAGGCGAAATCAAGAATTCACTTAACACGTATAAAAGAAACATAAATAAATTATAAGTTAAAATAGGTTTTAAAATATACATAGAAGATATAACCCAACGACACATTACTCAATTATAGGCTGATGTCTCTATAAAGCTGTACACTTTTGGCCAGTGTAGACAATTGAAAGTCTTTTTTTTTTTCTTACGGATTGCACAGATGTTAAAACACTGTCGAGTGGCAGCAACAATGAATGCTACATTTGTACTGGATAGAAAAAAAAATATCACTCCCCACACCGAGAGCTCGGCCGGTTCAATCCTGAGAGGCCGGTGGTGGATGTCCGGTGTCTGGCCGGCGCTGCTCCACCGGACCAGGGTGGGGATTCGGGGTGGGGGTTCCGCCGGCTATCGTCCATTCACCCCTTCCTCCTCCTTTTCTTTCCTTCCTCCGTCATGCATGCCCGCGCAAGCAGTTAGTGCAAAAATCCACCTGAGGAGGAGGGGGGGGAGGGAAAAGGAAAATTGTGAGTCGTCCTCGACGAACAAAATGGAGAAACACAACAAGCGAGACGAGCGTCTGCCTCGCCAGGATGCGAGATCAGCAAAGGGGGCGGCACCCTTTTTTCCCGCCACAGCGCGTGACGCCATACCCCTCCCCCACTCCACCTTACTATCGCTCCGCCCTGCCCCTCCCTCCTCAACCTCCCCTTCACGCCACCCCTCCCCCCACACACACTTCGCTTTTTTTGGACGTGTGAAATCCTTTCAAAATACGGCGAAGAAAACAAACAACAATTTGAACCTTAATCATTATGTACAAAATGTGATTATTTAAAGCTTCAAGAAATAACCGTTACACCACCCATCATAGGACATAGTAGGTTTTGAAATAAAACCGTTGAAATAACCAGATGGAATCACCCCAACACAACCCATTATGTGATAATGATTTTCAAAGTAAAGCAAAATTGATCAGTCGACTCACGTAGATAACAATAATGATGAAATACGGCAAAATGTTTGCCAACTGAAATCGGTAACATCTCCCAAAACTTGTAAATAGTTATGATTTTCAAGATAAAACAGACAAAGATCAGGTCAACGGCCTTAAGATGACGAATAATGATATAGTAAATATAATGAAAATTCGAATTATAAGCAAAAAAGCAATGATCTTCAAAATAAAGCCGAAAGGGCTCATATTTAAAAGCCTGATAATGATTTTTAACAACCAAAATGACTGATTGAAATAATCACAACACAATCCAGGCTGGGCAGTGAAAGAGAAAAGACCAGATAGAACATCTTTGACTTATACTAAATAAACCGATGTAATCCACTTCGAAAGCAAAACCATCTTTAATTTAATTAAAGTACTTAACCAGTAAACAGTAGGCATTGAAATGGGTTTTAGAAGTGTACCTTCAACGGATCCTTTTCCTCGGCGTTTGCTCCATGGGAATGGGAGACTTGGAGTGATGGCTCAGCTCCATACACTTTCTCTCCGCGGCCCTCTTTCGCTTCACGAAGAAATCTAAACGCAGCAAAGTAGAAGATTAGAGGCGGCGTTCGAAATTTCGCCCCGTCGTATCATTTAATCATTATTCAGCCTGGATGCTGCCTCAACCTACCTGTGATGTGCGTGTTGTTATCCGCGGGGGCCGTGGTCGGCCTCTTCTGTCCGCCACAAGGGGCCCGTCTGTGGGCCGACCTCCGGGAGTTGAGCTTGTCCGCGCGGTTCTCTTGGTTGAGCTCGGCCGGCGCGCCCTCGCTCCCCTCGGGCGCGGCCAGACGTTGTAGCGCGTCCGGGTGCAGCTTGACGGGCGTCGCGGGCACGCTGAGCTGGGACGAGCCCTGGTAGAAGGCTGGGGTGCTGTCCGAGGAGACCTCCACCCACTCATAGTCTCCATCCAGGGGGGTGTTGGCCTCAAAATTAAAGTTCCACCGCTGCCGGTCGCGCTCGGAAATCTCCCGCAGTTTGACGCTCATCTCCCGACTCAGCTCTTCGTGGTCCACCGGTCCGAAGAGGTTCCGACACACGCCGGTGCGCTTGTGGAAGGGGAAGGTCCTCCGGGCCATCAGCCTCTCCATGGCGATGTTCGATAACTGGGCGTGAGACATATCCCCCATAAGGCACAAAAATACAGCGATTTGCAAAACAACAACAACAAAAATAAGCACAAGCTTTCCAATGCGGATTCCTCGTGTGTGTTTTCCACGCTGCGTACTTGTGTTTAAATGTACCGTGCTAGTAAAAGTCAGAGTATATAACCTCGAGTCAAGCCGTCAGTCAGAGCCGACACCTCGGACGATGACGTGATTGGCTGCTTCAAGTCCAACCCCCCTCTGCCTCCAAAACACACATACGTACACGCCCCCCCCCCACACACACACACACACACACTGAGCTGCCCGCGTGTTTCCGTGCTGCCTCCACGCAGTGTTTCCCAATCGTCAAAAACATTTATTTCACAGTACACAACCAAGCATAGATGTCACAAAAAGCGGAAGAGCAGTTCATTATTTTGCCTCTCAATTTCCGTTGCGGGCATTAAAAGAGGACCAAATATACTTTATAGGGTTGTAAAATTCCGGGAATTTACAGCTTGGAAGCTTTCCATGAAATAAACCAGAAACCAACAAAAACCTAATAGTGAATTTAAATACAGATAGTTGTGACGACATCTTTTAGCATAAGCCAAACTATCATGACCAAATTTCATTCAAGTATCGTTGAATATAAAAATGATTACCTGAGGAGTTTTACCAAAATTCAGAGAGCAGTTTGAGGGAAGAGGAATTTTGAGTTGAATGAGAGGCTGTTTTTTGGAAGGGTGGGGGCGCATAAATTGCAGTAAATCTCTTTGGAACACTGCTTTTCAGGCATATAGCAGACAGAGCAGCAAAAGTCTGCACACTATGCATTTACGTAACAGAACATATACTTGTGTTAAAACGCACACACACACACACACACACACACACACACACACACACACACACACACAAAACAATTCTCTTAATTAAGGCCATGGATGGGAAATATCTCCAAATCTGTTGTGGTCTTCGCTATTGCTCGTTAGTTTACGTCAATCAATCAATCAATCAATCAATCAATCAATCAATCAATCAATCACAGTAGAGAAGTCAAAGGAGTACATTTTGCGTATTGACAAAAAAGCAGACTACACCACCATAAAAGTAAAAAGTCCTTAGGGGGAAAAAAACAATACTCGAGTAAACTACAGATACCTGAAAAATGCATTTAAGTACAGGGAAAATAACAAAGTACTGTATTTGTACTTCATTACTTGCCACCACTGACAGCAGAGTGCCAAACCCTCATTATTTGCTTGAGAGATTCATATGAAATCATTTGATAAATTATCAGATCAATGAAATACCATTGGCATCAGTAAAAGTATGCTTTTATTTTTATTTTTTTAGATGTATCAGTATTTCCCATATTACAACACAGCACTGCCTCCAGGCTTCACTCCACTCCTGCAACGTCAGACCTCCTCTTGTCATTTTTTTTTTTTTTACTTCCTTACGCTCAGCGTCAACCTGAACGTAAACAACCGGCTGACGTTACACAATGCTTACAATACTGTTTTTTTCGTGAGGCTTCTCGTCACACCTCCTGCCTGCTTTGAAGTGTGCTGTATTGCAGTAGTAGTAGAGTTGCATTATAACCACACCAAATGTGTGCCAAATGCTTGTGGGAACAGACTCGCGTGGGTTGGGATTTAATTACATCTTAGAATGTATGCATCTTCAATTGAATCCAAACCAAGTTTCATAAATCCTCAGGCAGATTCTCCATTGTGCTAACTTCAGGTGCTTTCGTGCAAAGAAAAACAAAAAAAGTGACGGCCAACGCCTTCCTGTTGGATGGTGGGCACACAGCGTCCCCCAGCGGTGTAAAACATAAGAGCAACTTCAGTCAGACAAAGTGAGAAACTACTTTGGTAAACATTTCTTTCGCTCGTGTCTATTTCACGCAATACGACGTAATTTGGTGAAATGTCCTGTTTTGCCTTCGGTGTGCTAACAGGCTAGGATCTCAGAATTGAACTCGCGTTAGTGTAATGGTGTTATTTTAAAAAATATCGACATTCGCAGTGTGCTGTGAAACAATCAAAACTCTAGATAAGGATGGATTTCCATTCTTTCACAATGGATTGACTTTGATTTGATGAAATATTTTTATTGTTTGTATTTCTAATCCATGATTTAATGGTTGTTTATGTTGAGAAGATCAAATCAATTGTCATTTCAGTGAACGGTTGGTTGCAATACCGCAACGCCAAAGCGATGTCGCGACAGTAGATTCATGCGTGGTGCCATGGCGACGCCTAGTGGCCAAATGTGGCAAAACCAAACTGCACTTCATTGAAAACTATCCATCCGTCCGTACATTTTCTAATCCGCTTTATCCTCACTAGGGTCGCGGGCGTGCTGGAGCCTATCCCAGGTGTCATCGGTCAGCAGATGAAAAATGCTAATGAATTACAATTATTTTTTAAACCAAAACGCCTCACGGGCACCTTGGAATCGTTTGCGCCTGAGTGATGTTGGCGATGGTTGTTTGTGTTTGCCTCCATCGCTCCAAATTCACAGGCCGCATCATCCGAAGGTCGCATTTTTTTATCCAAACAACATCACTTGAGGCGCAGTGGTTTCCACACTTTGGAAACACAATTCGAAGGCTGGGTTCTTCGACGCCTTCAAAGGCTCTTCCGCATAAGCCATGGCGAATTTGGACACGGTAAATGAATGTGCATTTGTTGTTATCGTGCGCCCGAAAACGGGCCCTTCGGACGAACCAGACTGTGAATTTGGACACGGCCTATGTTTGTCCTGAGAATGGCTGGCGACCAATTCAGGGTGTTATCAGCTGGGATAGGCATTGGTTCAATACAGACAGTTCCAAAACTGCGGGCCTGGCAGAATGTTTTTTCTTCGTCTCCACTAGAGGTGCAACGATTAATTGATTAAACCCCCCCCCCCCTCTAAACAAAGGGAACACAACTACGCTCGTTGTTACAGTTGATGCCTGGGGAAAAGCACATAAGCATGATGCCCCCAAAAAATTGCAGGTGCAAATGGAAGAGGTGGATGTCCCATAACCCCGGTAGCCAGCCCCTGCCTGCACTTTCTACGTAAAACTCACACACGCTAAATGTCAAAGCACTAATTATAGGCATTTGAAGGTTAAGGTCTCAAATAAACACCGAAAAAAGTCCACTTGGGTGTATTATGTTCCACCCCCCCACCCCCACACAATCCTCCGTCTGCATGAGACACAAAAGGAACAACTAGTACCAGATGTTTCCTCACATTTCTTGTTGGAACACATTAGCGTTGCTTTTGCATCCGCTTTTAGCTTTTTCTTATAATTTTCAGGTGTGTGTTGTGCCTCCACCACCCGTCCCACCAACAGACACACGCACACATCCGCAACTGACCTGAACCAACAGAGCAGGACTGATGGTCATTCGATCCCTGGAAAAACTGCATGCGGCCTTTCAAGCACGACATCCTACTGGGACACACCCAACTAAAGTGGTTTCTTCAATGAGTTAGCTTCTGTTTCCTCAGGTAATGACCCACTCTGCCAAATTATATATGAGCGGGTCTGTAAGTATAGATCTTGCGGCAATAATGAGCTCTGGATCCTTGTCGTTGGAGGCAGGATACAATAAAAGAAAGAAAAATACCTGCATCTAAAGCAGAGTCACATTCTGTAAAAAACAAACAAAAAAATAATTATATATA